GGCCAGCCATCCCCAGTGATCCTCCTGTCTCCACCCCACACGGTGCTAGGTTATAGGTGTGTGGCAGACAGGCAGCCGTAACAAAGACAGCCTCATTTCCTCCCTGATGTTGATGGAAACACGAGAGCATCCCACTCGAGCCAGAAGGCGGTAAAGCGCAGTGGCTCTCGAGCTTTCAGGCCGGGCTGCCTCGGGACGGTGCCAGAACCAAGTGACCCCCGACTCAGCCGCATGTCCTTGTCTGGAAGATGAGACGGCAGGGCCTGCCCAAAGGACGGGTGTGCTCTGGAAATGAAGATACGTGTACGCGTGCAAACTGACTTCAGCAATGCCTGTTAGCTGGACACAGGGTGGCTCGCGGCTGTAGTTCCAGCCCTTGGGAGGCCGAGGCAGGATGGCTGCGAGTTTGTGTCCAGTCTGGCTTATATAGTGAGTTTCAAGACAAATTGAACTACAAAGAGGAAGGGAGGAAGGGAGGGAGGCAGGGAGGGAGGGAGGGAGGTAAGGAGGGAGGAAGGGAGGGAGGAAGGGAGGGAGGGAGGGAGGAAAAGAAGGAAAGAAAGAAAAAGGCAGGCAGGCAGGTAGCTGGGTGTGGGCACATAATTTTAACCCCAGCACTGAGGGGGGGAAGGGGGAGAATCCAGAAGAGGTTCATTGGTTCAACAACACCAGCAAAGCAAAATGGCCTGGCAGATGACACACACCTGTGTTTCCGTTCTGTGCTGTTGAGAAAATTCCCTGACAGGAGCGAACTTCAGGGAGAGAGGGTTTATTTTAGCCCACAGTCCCAGGCTACTGCCAGTCACCGCAGGGAGGCCGCTGTGTCAGGAGCTGGAAGCAGCTGGTCACCGCCACAGTCAAGAGCAGAGAGAAGTCAGCGCCCGCGTACATGTGGCTCAGCCCGCTTTCTCTGCTCTCATGCACTCCAGGCCCCCAAATCAGAGAACGGTGGCCTCCCACCCTTGGGCTGGATCTCCCCTCGCCAGCAAATGAAATGAAGACCACCCCCCCACGCACACACAGACATGCCCACAAGCCATCCTATCCTGATCTAGACGGTGCCTTACCTGGGCTCTGCCCAGGAGACTCTAGACTGTGTCAAGTACGCTAACCATCACACCCAGCATTCGCACAGGCAAGAGAATCTACTAAAGGTGATCCTTGGCTACATGGCAAGCTGAAGCCAGCCTGGGCTACTTGAGACCATGTGTTAAAATAAAAAAACAAAAAGAACTCAATTTCTGGGAAGGCCTAAGCCACACACGCCTGTCCAGTCTTTTGATGGTTTCTGCATGACCATCATCCACAAAGTTTCTACTCAAGGGATGTGCAGTTGAATCCCTCCCCGCAAAAATCACTAAGATATGTCTTAATGATGTTTGAAGTGGGTTTATGACTTTACGTTGGCCCATGACCTAGCTCTCCTTAGCTGCACAGTGCTGACACCACACCGTGTTATTTGGAAGCCTCGAGAATCTGACCAGAGCACAGCATTCACTCCTGGGTTCACCTTTTGTCAGCCCCTCGAGCCCACTCTGGGACCTGACTCTGACCTCACCATCCTGGTTTTAATTAGCTGACTAGTGGCTTGCTGGGTCCCTGGCGCTGGGTATAACCTCGAAAGGCTGTGTTCTTTCTCCTCGAGAACCGTAATTACCACCCTGGTTCCCCGGCAATCTCCTCTCCTTTCTTCCTTATTTCCTATTGAGAAAGGGTTTTGAACTGAGAGGTTTGGGCTGAAGTCACACGCCCAGCCCCTCTTCTGTAAATAGAAAGCCTACCTCCCTTGCAGGCTTGTTTCCAAAATTAAAGGGACACCTGCACAGCTCTTTCTTCAGTTTTCAATTCTCCACCTGGGGCTCCTGTCTAAAATGGGAGGTGGTGAGTGGCTGGAAGGAGAGGGACACTCGTGTTCTCTGAGATCAAAGTCTGGTTCCATCTCTCCACCTGAGCTCAGCCCAGAGTCAGGTGCTCTGAACCCCAATGTGAAACCTGCCCCAGGCATCCTGGAAGATGCTGGAAAAGCAGAGTCCTCAATCTGAGCCCTCAGCTGAGCAGGGTGGTGAAAATGAGGGCATGTAGCTTCCTCCCCTGAAGAAATCAGACTTCTCCATCAGGACCCTTTCAAAGTCTGTGGATTTGCTAACGGCTGGAGAGACAGCTCCATGGGTAAAAGCGCCTGAAACACAGCAGGAAAGCCTGTGTTTGGAACCCCAGCACCCACATAAAAGGCAGGTATAGCAATGTGTCTATAATACCGGCACTGGTTGCCTTGGAGACAGACAGGCAAGTGTCAGGGGCTCACTGGCCAACCAGGCAGGCTGAAATGGTGAGTCAGGCTAAGTGAGAGATCCTGCCTCAAAAAATAAGGGAGAGGGGCTACAGGGATGACTCAGCAGTTAAAGCCATTTGTGGCCATTGCAGAGGACCTGAGTTCCGTTTCCAGTACCCACATTAAGAGGCGGTAACTCTGGCTCCAGGATCCAGCGCCCTCTTCTGGGCTCATGGGCACCTTCACTCACATGCACATACCCACACGTAGACAAACACATATACCCACTATTTTAAAAAGTAATAAAAATAAGCCGGGTGCTGGTGGCACACACCTTTAATCCCAGCGCTCAGGAGACAGAGGCAGCAGATCTCTGTGAGTTCAAGGCCAGAGTTCCAGGACAGCCAACGCTACACAGAGAAACTCAGAAGAAGAAGAAGAAGAAGAAGAAGGAGAAGGAGAAGGAGAAGGAGAAGGAGAAGGAGAAGGAGAAGGAGAAGGAGAAGGAGAAGGAGAAGGAGAAGAAGGAGAAGGAGAAGAAGGAGAAGAATCTTTAAACAAAAACAATGTAGAGTAATAGATGATACTCAAAGTCAATCTCTGACACCCACAGTCAGAGTACATAACCAAGTGCATTTGCACACGAGTGCACACACATGACCTACACACACACACAGCCCTTACACCTTTCAAAAGCCCCAGCCACAGATTCTCATGACACAAGAGTGCAGACTGACAGAAGGAAAGCCCCTCAGAGGATCTGCAGAATGGTTGACAAGGGAGCCTCCTGACTCAACTGCTTGTGTCACAGTGGGACATCATCTCCATCGCTCTCAGCTGGGAGCCAATGAACACCAGCAGTTCCCTGTGCATAACGCTCAGGCTTCCCAGGGAACGCAGAGCCTCTGTCTTCTCGTCCCAAAGACCCAAGTATAACCCTGGTATGTTAAATGACGGAACGGCCCCAAACATCCTAAGTCCTTATTACCATCCTTGCTGGGTTTGCCCTAAACTGAGTCAGGTCCTGAGACCAGTACTTATGATGGTCTAAATTTTGGGGGGCCCCCAACCACAAAAATCCTCTAAATGTTTGTGGCAGGCAAACATAGACTTCTTACCCCTGATCCCACACACACACACACACACACACACACACACACACACACATACATACACATACACACACACACCCCTCACAGAATCTGGAATCAAGACCTTTGGCTGGTAGTTAACACAGGGTCCCTGGGGACAACAGAGGACAAGGGGTGTGCATGCAAGAAAAGAGTTTGAACAGACCAGGGACAGTGTCAGCATTCTCTGCCTTTGCCGAAGGAACTTAGGTCTCACAAAGCTGTGGAATAAAGATGATTTTGGAGAAAGCAAACAAGTCTGGGAACCTAGCACCCCTCTGTTAGTCATTTCCTTGGGGAAATAGGCTCCACGTGTCTACAGATACAGATGGACCCAGGCACAAATGCCTTAATGGGACTTTATTCTACAGAGGACTCACAGGACACAAGACAGTGTGGGTCAGGGCTTAGACCTCTGGATTCAGTCCAGAGACACAGTGACCACAAGATGAATGAAGTTGTTGTCTTCATAACAGGGCTTACTGTTAAAAATAATAAGTTTTGAGACAGAGTCTTGAGTAGCCCAGGCTGGCTTCAAATTCTTGGTCCTCCTGCCTCAGTGTCTTGATACAGTATCACTAGCAGAAGAGTTACAGTGTCGTGCATGGAACCTATACACTGTCATGTACAGAACTGCTACAGTATCTGCATGGAATTGATACAGTGCCAGGCACTATATATAACTGTATGCATGGAATTGCTACAGCACCATGAACTACATATAATTGTGTGTGTGGAATTTTTTATCCACCTGGCAGTAAGTGATTTGTTTAAGCCAGCATCCCCACAGGTGTGTACAGACTATTCAGTGACATTAAAGTAGCTACCATGTCAGTAAGCAATGGAAACTTCTAGCTCCGCTGTAGTCTCAGGAATCGGCCATCCCATGTATCATCATGGACTGAATCAGCTTCCTGCAGTGTGAGTGTGTGTATGAGTGTGAGTGTGAGTGTGTGTGTGTGTGTGTGTGCCTATAGAAAGAGATCATGGTTGTAGAGACTTGCAAGTTCAGGCAGTGTAGACCCACAATCTGAATCCTGAACAGAGTCATATTTTGGGATTAAAGGTGTGCGCCAACAACGTCCGGCGGTGCATGTCTATCTTTGAATCTTTGCAAGTTCTCCTCGAAAAGTTGTGCATAAACAATAGAACTGCAAACCAAACCCACACTGAGATAGAATTTCCTCAAAGCCCACATAAAAAACCCAGGTGTGTTGGTCCTTGCAGTACCAGAGCTGGGGAGGTGGAGACCTAGGGGTGCTCTGGCAGCCAGCCCAGCCTCTCCAGTGAGTTCAAACCAATGAGACGCCATGTTTCAAAAGCAGCATTCTTAAGAAACATGATGATAGCGCCCAAGGAACACTTAAGATTGACCCCTCTGGGTTTTACACAAGCACACACACACACACACACACACACACACACACACTACATGAGCTACCACTAGGTCCAGTAACCTGGTAGCTGACAGCACCGCCACACCCATGTGCCACTGTGCAAAGAGGCTTGGAGGCCAGGCAGGCATCCACACTGCACCTCAGCAGGATGCCTGGACAGATGGAGGGAGACAGTGCACACATCTTCTCCCAGATACTTGCTTGGGGTGATAAACGTCTCCCATTTTATTGCGAATGAGATCTTTCTTTTCCATTATTTTTTTTCCTAAGTGGTTACTGTTGGACATAGGAAAGGTATTGATTTTTGTGCATTTATTTTTGTAGCTGGCTGCCTTACTGATCTCTCATTATTTCTAATAGTTTTTCAGCTTGAATTTCCCAGAGGGTGGGGGAGGTTTAAGCAATATGACAAGCTTGACCAAATTACACAAAATCAGCCCTCAGTGCTGTCTGTGTTTTGCGGGAGTGCGGAAAGGCGGGACGAGAACACATGAGCTACACGTGTGAAGCCTGTTTCCATCCACACCAGCATGTCCGCATCCTGTGTGCTCACTGCACCCCTGGGAGATGACTGCTCACCACACCCCCAAAGATGGGTTCTCACCACACCCCTAGGAGATCCCATCTTCCAATGCGGCAAAGACAGTTCTGGAAACCAGGCTCAGAGCAGTCCTCTGTGGGGACAGACAGTCCCAATTTTCAGCCTTGCCGGATGTTGTTGGATGGCAGGAAATCTATCTGGGAGAGGCCCAGAGCAGGGTCTATCTAAATGTGACTGTTGCCGCTCTGGTCCAATCTGGGCATCTCACGGCCTGCTCTCCAGGCAGCCCTCCAGCCTGAGCGTCTACTATCTGCCGGCATAGGGAGCAGGAATCCACACGTGCTACAGGCCTTGCCTCACCTGCGCCCAGAGCAGCTTCCTTCTGCGGTAGGCAGCAGTTTCTGCAGCGGCTCCCAACGCCAAAGTCTGAGCTGAGAGACTGTGAGTGCTCAGCCCTGGCAGTTCCTATTTATGAACGGCAAACCGGAAGGTTCGGTAGCATCGTAGAAGACGAAGCGGACAGAGAGTAAGAGAGGCTGGGGAGGAAAGCGGAGTGCTGTCTTCCGGGAGACGCCACCCCGGTGCTCATGAACTCACTGCAACTCTGGTGACCTGCACAGGAGCCAGCCAGCCGAAGTTCCAGCACGGACAGGAGAGGAACTCGTGAGGACCTGCCCCGCACTGGGGGCTGTTGGCAGCTGACCGTCATTCTTTGAGAGCTTGGCCACTGGAGGATTCCCCATGTTGTAGTAGATGGTTCCTCTTCCTCACACATCAATCATATAGGCAGCACTAACTGTACACAGTGAGGAAGAGGGGGGAAATGAAATTGAGAGGGAGTTAGCGGGGGAAAGTGGGGGTGTCTCTGATCATACTTAATTATACGTGCATACAGAGGATCCAGTCCCTTCCTCAGATGACCTCCGAGAGCAGAACATTCTGGCCTGTGTGCCTGACTCTGTCAGTGCCTTGAGCCTACGAAGTCTCTCTCGGATGCTCTTTGCTGCGTGCTTGGGACTTTAACGCTCAAGGCTCTGCCAGACCCCTCTGCGCTGGTGACTGTTGCCAAGTCGACAGGATGTAGGATCTCCTGGGAGAGAGCCTGTGGTTTCCAGGTTAGGGTAGTGAAAGTCCTGAGACCCAGTCTAAATACCAACACCACATTCTATGTGGACCGGATGGAGTCCTTGCTGGATACAAAGGAGAGAGTGAGCTGAGCCCCAGGGAACATCTCGACAGCCATGGTCCCTGGCGTGTGTGCACCATGACAGCCACCTCTGCCCCCGCCACCAGGGTGAGCCGTGTCCCCTCCTCCCGAAAGCTGCTCTTTGCCAGGTGTTTTGTCACATCGACTAGAAAAGGAGACGATTCTTCCCGCCCCGTGTGCAGCTGCTGTGCAGGCCACCTGACCGGCCTCTGCCCTCTGGACCTGCTGCCCCTTTAGGGCGCAGCCCATGGACTCCTACAGCAGCTCCCACACCCGTGACACTGGAACTACGCTCCGTGAAGGGTCAGGGTGACGCCACCGCCTGCAGAACTGCGGCCCCGCTTTCACCCTGGGCTGCCCAGAGCCCACGTCACATTTAACACAGGGCTCTCACGGGCTGGGGAGACAGCTCAGCAAGCTAATGAGTGTAATCCCCAGAATACATATTTAAAAAAAAAAAAGCCAGGCATGATGGTGCTTGCAATCTCCGTGCTCGGAAGCCCACCTCACCGGTGAGGCCCGAGTCCCAGGGAGAGGCCCTGTCTTAAATAAACACAGTGGACCATTCTGAGGAAAGACGAGGGTTTGTCCTGTGATCGTATGCACACAGACAGACAGACAGACACACACACACACACACACACACACACACACAGAAAGAGAGAGAGAGAGAGAGAGAGAGAGAGAGAGAGAGAGAGAGAGAGAGAGAGAGAGAGAGAGAGAGAGAGAGGTGTCCACCTTCAGCATTTGCTTCCGGTGAACCTGCCTGAGACCCAGCCTGAGAACCTGCCCTCCCCCTGCCCGAAATCATGGTCTCCCCATCTGTCAGGAACACCTGGAAAGTCCTGTGAGGAGAGGATGTGGGTGATGTCGTGGACTGAACTGCATCCCACCAAACTCCACACGCTGCTGTCCTCAATTGAGACGGGGCCTACAGGGAGGTAGTCAGGAGGGTGGGGCCCTGACTGAGTGTGTTAGTGTCCTACAGGAAAAGACATGGAGAACTTGTGTTTCTCTCTCCTCGTCCACAAACACACGGGGAAACGGTGGCCAATCTACAGACTGAAAGAAGGGGCTCCAGAGCGAGCCAAGCCTGAGTCTGTGCTCACCCGTCCATCATCCTGGACAGTGCGGGAGTACCCTCCTTAAATTGATCTCTGAACTCTACAGGTACACTGTGGCATGCAGGCACCCTTATATAAATAAAAAGATACATAAATGCATAAATAAAAAGATAAATAAATGTATTTTTTTCCTTTGAAAAAGCCTCTGGTACCCAGGTGTCTTCTGACTCTGCCTCCTGACAAGAAAGGGGCTCAGTAACCTCAGATCCACTTCCGAGAGCATGCACACAGCACGGAGGGGACTCGCCCAGCATCCCCTGGAAACTGCAACGGACACGGCACTCTGCTCCAGGTTCTATTCCACCGTCCAGAACTGCAGTCCAAATTTGGGAAGCAGGGGAGGTCTTTGGATCCCAAAGGCTGCTATAAATGCCTGGAAAAGAGAGTGACATGCTATCCCAGGATGGGAAGGAAGAGAGAGTGACATGCTATCCCAGGATGGGAAGGAAGAGAGAGTGACATGCTATCCCAGGATGAGAAGGAAGAGAGAGTGACATGCTATCCCAGGATGAGAAGGGAAGAATAAAAAACGGAGAAAGTCAGGCTTTGAGACAGCCACCTGCAGACACACACCCCGAGTCTGCAGACCGACCCACCCAGGAGTTCTAAAGACCTTGTTGTTTTCAGGCAAAGCAGCGGGGACCTCAGCTGCTGGGGATCAAGAGAGGCCCGGGAGAAGCAGGCATCAGCATGGCAGGAGAGCTCCAGGGCATCAGGTGAGCAGCCCCGCCCGCCCGCCCATCAACCCAGCCAAGGTCTCACCTGCACAGGTGGGACTGACTCTTCCTGTTCTCACAGGCCTTTGCCTTAGGCAGGAGGCTGCCAGTCTATTTTGGGCCACAGCTGCCCAAAGCAGTGGTTTTCCATTCTGAGGCTGGATAGAGCCTAGAGCCTGACTGCAGCAGAGGAGAAAGGAGACAGTTAAGAGCTGTTGGGACCCATGACCCATGCGTGTGCATGTGGGTACGTGTGCCCGAGTGTGAGCACGCACATATACACACACACACACAGATACACACACACAGACATACACACAGACACAGACATACACACACACACAAACACACACACCCCCTCTCCATTGCCACAGGCCACTGGGATCAGAGTGTCACTTCTCCCAGAAGCAAGTGACAGAAGCAGCTGTTACAGGTGGTGACCCTCCACGGGGCTTCCCTCCTCACAGCCCCCGGGCTCCCTCAGAAGCCTGGGCCCACCCAGCAATACAATCTTCCAAGTCATAGCTTCACCTTTCAAAGAAAGGTAGGGGGCGCAAGGGGCCACCTGGGGTTTGGCAGATGGCTGGTTCTTTTTCCGGGGGGCGGCAGGGTGGGGCTGAGGGGGTGGGTAGTTGGGGGGGCTTCCCCTGTTTCACCACCCAAAGCAAATCAGCAACTGAAAACTGGTTTATGGTTTTGGATTTTTCTAATTTCAGATCAACGAGATTGTGGGTTTGCAGTCATCTCAAACCAAATCTAAACATTGGGAGTTGTTGTAGATTCGTGGGGTGAAAAAGTGGGGGGGAAGGGAACTTTGGGTCACATGACTTCTATGCGGCGGAAACTTAATGAGAAACACACCACATTCCCAGAACCCTCTTTCTAGTCTGGGCTCCCGCAGAGATAAAAGGTCACAAGAAGAGAAGGAGGGAGTGGACGGGAGCCTGTGGAGATGGGAGGCGCTGTCTGACTGGAAAGTAGGCCCGAATTTCATCCGAGCTGCTATCGGGTCTGATAGCCTAAACTGATTATTTTCTTTGAATGCCAGATGTGAGGAGCGTTCATAAAGGAACCTCAAACATCACCAGCTGAAAAACAAATCGACCCAAGCCACATGCATGGCAGCACAAAAGGCAAATTTGCAATCCCAGACTGTAGGGAAAACTGAAGCAGTTGGGCTGGGGAAAGGCCTGGCTGGGACCACACAGCCCACCGCTTCCCCCACAGGCCACAGGGCAAGAGAGGGAGAAGGAAGGCAAGGCCTGGACACTCGGGGCTCCTGGAGATGACCGGGCCTTCTGGTCCGCATCTCAGAAGACACACACCCCAGGTGATCACCGACTCTGCTTCCACAGGAGAGAAATTGCACAGCTCTGCAAACTGAGGGTCCCACTATGGACGAAGCTGGTCTGTCCGGCCACCCTGCACTCAACAGTGTCCCTTCCATGAGCCTGTGTCCAAGGATCCCCACCTCAACGCTCCCGTGTCCAAGCTTAGGGCCGGGCACACAGGCAGAAGCCGGGTCTGCTGCCCAGGCCGTGCACACACCTGCACTGAGAATGCTAACCCCTCCCCACACACTGTCTTCTGGGGACAGGCTTCATCCACACATTGTAAGCCACCCGGACAGAGTCCAGAGAGATTTGCAAAGCCAAATCTCTCCCCCAACGCCGGATGTTCCTGTCTGCACCCGAGGACAGACTGTAGGGCACTGTAGGGCGTCTGACCCCTGGGTATATACGTCGCTATCAGTCACAGGAGCCCAGTGACATCTAGAGGGGCTGGGCCTGAAAGGCCCCTCCGCGTGAGGGACAGTGGCCTCAGTGTGAAGAAGACAGTGACCTCAGTGTGAAGAAGACAGTGACCTCAGTGTGAAGAAGACAGTGACCTCAGTGTGAAGAAGACAGTGACCTCAGTGTGAAGACAGTGACCTCAGTGTGAAGAAGACAGTGACCTCAGTGTGAAGAAGACAGCGACCTCAGTGTGAAGACAGTGACCTCAGTGTGAAGAAGACAGTGACCTCAGTGTGAAGAAGACAGTGACCTCAGTGTGAAGACAGTGACCTCAGTGTGAAGAAGACAGTTACCTCAGTGTGAAGAAGACAGTGACCTCAGTGTGAAGAAGATAGTGACCTCAGTGTGAAGACAGTGACCTCAGGGTGAAGAAGACAGTTACCTCAGTGTGAAGAAGACAGTGACCTCAGTGTGAAGAAGACAGTGACCTCAGTGTGAAGAAGACAGTGACCTCAGTGTGAAGAAGACAGTTACCTCAGTGTGAAGAAGACAGTGACCTCAGTGTGAAGACAGTGACCTCAGTGTGAAGAAGACAGTTACCTCAGTGTGAAGAAGACAGTGACCTCAGTGTGAAGAAGATAGTGACCTCAGTGTGAAGACAGTGACTTCAGGGTGAAGACAGTGACCTCAGTGTGAAGAAGATAGTGACCTCAGTGTGAAGACAGTGACCTCAGGGTGAAGACAGTGACCTCAGTGTGAAGAAGACAGTGACCTCAGTGTGCAGAAGACAGTGACCTCAGTGTGCAGAAGACAGTGACCTCAGTGTGAAGACAGTGACCTCATTGTGAAGACAGTGACCTCAGTGTGAAGAAGGACGGTGACCTCAGTGTGAAGAAGGGGCCCGGCTCATCTCCCCAGTCTCGTCTCTCATCAGGACTCCTGGTCCAGTGGACTGGGAGTGCCAGCCCGCCCGCCCGCCACCTACCTCAAGGCCTTTGCACACTGTCCTCCTCTGTAGCTGCCTGGCCTGTAAACCATGCTCTCCTCCATACAGCTCTCCTTACTTCTGTCTGCCATGCCCTCCCCCCTTCCCCCTGCATCCCGCCAGTGCCTACCTCACGGCTCCTGGAAAGAATTCAGCAAACATTGGCCACTCCACTAACAACCTGGCATGTGCAAATAATTCCCAGTGCTGGGGACTGTGCTTGAGACCCCGCCCGTGTGACCCTTTGACTTTGGGATTGTCCCAGAAGTTTCCTTCAGGTGGCTCACCTTCCCCGGGGGTACCGAGAGACAGAGGCTATTTTAGTTCAGGGTTAGTAGGCCATAATGACCTGTGACCAGTCCAAAGAGGTGTCACCCAGCCATGACTGCGAGTGTGCAACGAGCTGGACTCCACCAGTTTTCCTCTTACTTGCCTTTGCCGGCGTCTGAGCACCACCTAGTGGCAGGTGCTGGTCATGGCATCCACCTACGCAGGCCCTTTCCTTTTTAGGACAAAATGGACACTTTTGAAAAAACCTAGCTCATCTGTGGCCCGACCCTTTGCAATCTGATCTACAGAACCTTCCCCGAGCAGGTCCCTTGGCTGCATCTGTATATCCTTCAGGCACCAACCTTCCTAACTGTAAACCTGGCCAGGCTGATGTGTGTTTTCTCTCCTGTCCCCCCCCCTTTATAGCCAGACTCTAGGATGTGCCCAGGGCAAACTGGAAGGAAGATGAGCAGAGGCATCCAGAGACCTGAGTTCTAACACTCTAGCTTTGCTCGAGAGTGAGGTGAGCCTGGGCACCCCATCGGAGCACCCGACCTGTCCCTGCCCGACAGTAGGGTAAGTCTCCATCCCTGATGCTACATCGTGGTGTAGTGGGTTTGCTTTTTTTTTTTTCAGTTTATTTTAGGTGCATTGGAGTGAAGGTGTCAGATCCCCTGGAACTGGGGCTACACACAGTTGTGAGACACCATGTGGTTGCTGGGAACTGAACCCAGGACCTCTGGAAGAGCAGCCCCAACGCTCTTAACCTCTTAACCAACGAGACATCTCTCCTGTCCCCTGTAGTGGATTTGCTAAGCAAACACCTGACACTTCTCACCAAGAAGCCAGAGGAGAGCCAAGGCAACTGTAGCATGCTCACAGGCCAGGGGAGAGCCCTGATAACCACACGTGCTCACAGGTAGGGGAGAGCCAAGGCAACTGTAGCATGCTCACAGGCCAGGGGAGAGCCCTGATAACCACACGTGCTCACAGGCCAGGGAAGAGCCATGACAACCACACGTGCTCACAGGCACACACCGCTGTTCCTTGCCCTGGCTCACCCTGAGCCCTCAACACCCTGCCGTGCCTTGCTCCCCACCTCCTGAATTGCCCCCCTAGTCTGCCTTTAGGCTGGACAGGCCCCTGAAGCCTGTCTGTGTGCTCTCGACTCTCTGTCCTACACAGGGTCCTGTGTGCAGTGGGCGGCCATGCCCACTCCATGCTGACTCAAACACGAGCTAAGGAAAGTTACCCCTCTGGGGTGAGAAAAATGCCCTCCTGGGTTTTCTCCCATGGCCTGACCTGCTTCCGCTCGCTCGGCTGCCGGCCCCCCTGTGAGGCGGAAAGGGACTGCACGTGTCTCTAGGCTGCACTGCATTACCTGCTGCTATGGCATCTGACTCTCAGGCAAACTGGCAGCTCACACTCCCTGCCTGGCAGCTCAGAGACAGGGCGGGTTCCAGAAGCTGGAGCTGGGAGGGTGGCAAGGGCCGGGGGGTGAGGCATGCGGGGAAACCCCTCTGCTTCTCAGAGGCCCCACAGGAAACTCAGATGCCACGGGAGACCCTGGCTGGGAACAGTTCTGGTGGTCCAGCGGCCAGAACCCGCCCTGTGCCCTCCTAGGGGGACAGCTGCCACTCAGCCAAGCTCTGCCACGTGGGGACCAGACTAGGGCTGCCCAGAGAAGCTGTGAATACAAATGGCTACGCAAGAGTTTTAATTATTGACTAGCAACCTTTCAAACTTGTGAACAGGGCAGACACGATGGCTCAGCAGGTAAAAGGCACTCTCTGCCAAGACTGATGATCTGACTGCAACCCCTGGGGCCCACATAGTGGAAGGAAAAGAGTCACTCCCAAAAGTTATCCTCTGGCCTCCGTAAGTGCAATACAACACACACACACACACACCCTATATTATCCTAAATTAAAATATAAGGAGATAAATAAAAATTATGAACACTGTATGAGCCACATAGGACACCCCCATCACACATCCATGTCTGATTTCCCTGTGACTGGCATCTTCAAAATCAATACAAGACACAAAGCCTTAAGTCTTGGGCCATTGGGAAGGCTGTTGGGGCTGGAGAAAAGACTGGGCACCCCTGCACCCCCAGGATAAACTGCATTAGGATGAGGGGGGGTATCCTGAGGGTTATAATTGGCTCTCACTCTGGGTTCTGGTTGATTACTTAGGAAAATGTGTTGGGGCTCATTTCATTTTCCGATCTTGTACTGCTTTAATGAAAATTTATTACCAGCAGCTTTCTGAACTGGAAAGGAAGAAATTGAAAATACACATCTGTGTATAAGTAAACAGACGTGTGGAATGAATGAATGCTTTTAGATGAGATGCCCCAGTTACGCTTATGAAAAATGAATAAGGGGGCCTTCAGCCTTCCACATGAAGACAGCACCCGTGGAGACAGTGCAGTGACAATGTAGGTTTAAGAGTGTGTTTGGGGGCTGGAGAGACGGCTCAGTGGTTAAGAACACTGGCTGCTCTTCCAAAGGTCCTGAGTTCAATTCCCAGCAACCACATGTTGGCTCACAACCATCTATAATGGGATCTGATGCTCTCTTCTGGCTGAAAGGCACGCATGCAGACAGATCATTCATACCTAAAATATACATAAATAAAAATTTTTTAAAAGGAGTGTGTTTGGGACAACCACGGAACAGCATAGAAAGCATTAGGAATCAAAAGATCTGGGGCCAAGAGAGGGCCCAGCAGCCTAAAGCATTAGATGCGTGAGTCTGAACATCGAAGCCCAATCCTTAGCATCCACATTTAAAAAAATGAAGCCAGTTGTGGGAGCATATATCTCTAATCTAAACACTCCTGCTATGATGAGATACAGGCAGAGGCAGGAAAATCACCCAAAAGCTCACAGGATGGCTAGCTTACGGCATACAACTGCCTGTAATCCCAGCTCCAGGGATCAGAGCCCCTGCATGCACGCACGCGCACACACACGCGCACACACGCACACACACACCTACACATACACACATGTACACACACACACCCTCAACCCAGAGGTGTGACTGAAGTCCAAATGCCATGGAGGTGTGTCCAACCTTTCCGCACTGCCATAAGACTCTCTGGTTTGCAAAGTCCATGCCATTTGCAAGGAACACACCATCCAGTTGCAAGAAAAATTCCATTTTAAATAAGTTTACAGTTTTGTGTTGGCACGGACCCACGGCTGTTCTTGGCTGCATGCAGCCACTGAACTGTAGGTGGGACACACTGGAAGTTTCTTAGCCTCATCGATAGTCCCTACTCTACCCGCTGGGGTCATTTGCTGGACCAGTGAGAGCGAGCAGAGGCTTCAAGGCTTCAAGGGCTGATGCAGGCTACCCTGAGCTAGTGTCTCCTTCCCCCTGTGACCAAGGCCAGAGTTCCGTCACGGAACGCAGCAAGCATACAGGACACAGGTCTGCCAACTCACAACACACACACACGTGATGAACGAGACCTGTTACTTTTTGTCATTAAATACCGACTGCTTGTTAGCACAGCGCTGCCCGATCCACCGTAACTACTAACGGTCTGTAAGGGCCAGGCTCTTCACTCAGAACAAAACAAACAGGGGCTGGAGTGATGGCTCAGTGTTAAGAGCATTTGACCCTGAGTTCAGTCCTCATGACTGGGACTTCAGTTCCAGGAGACCCGACGCCCTCTGCTGGCCTCCTTAGGCACCTGCACACACAGGCCTAGAAAGCATGCACACACGTACTTCAATAAATAAATCTTAAAAGAATGAAACCTGTGCCGGGCGTTGGTGGCGCACGCTTTTAATCCCAGCACTTGGGAGGCAGAGGCAGGCGGATCTCTGTGAGTTCGAGGCCAGCCTGGTCTACAAGAGCAAGTGCCAGGACAGCCTCCAAAAGCCACAGAGAAACCCTGTCTCGAAAAACCAAAAAAAAAAAAAAAAAAAAAAAAAAAAGAATGAAACCTGTGCACACCTATTTCAGGCCCCAGAAGTACCTGTGACTGTGCAAAGCAGTGAGGACAGCAAATCGCGCCCCTATCCACCCTGTCCTCCATCCGCTTTTGTATTTCACGGATAATACTATGTTGGCATGTAGATCATTCTGTGAATTTCCCTCAAGACAAGAATCCTGTCTTTTCATCCGTATTTCTCAAACAACAAGGGTAACAAGGACACACAATTAAACCTACAAACAAGACACAATTCTCTTGGAAGCAAAACAAAAATCTGAACAGGTTGTACAACTGGTTCAAACAGGTTTATCCCTCATTAGTCATCAAGTGAATGCAAATTTAAAACCCACAGTGAGATACAGTTCCAGCAGTCAGAAGGGAAAGTCAAAAAGACTGGGGGGGAGGAACAGTGTAGCCAGTGCTTTCTGACTGGCTCTGAGGCCGCCCGCAGGGAACCCAGGCCTGGTCAACAGCCAGTGGCTCCGGAGGTCACAAACTGCAGGGGGCAACTGACTGTAACAGTACATCAGGTTACCTTCTAAAAGTTTTACACCCCGGATCGGTGCTCCTCTCAACCCTGTCTGGAGAGACTTCTGTCTGCGGTGATCATCACTTAGTGCGGCGCTGTCAGGTGTGCTAGTGCACTTGGCGGGGGGCGGGGCCGAGGTAAACCTCTGTCTCAGGGCAGTCTGGTCTACACATCCATTTCTGGGCCAACCAGGCCACGCACCAAGACCCTGTCTCAAAACAAACTAAAACCGAAATTGAGTAAGGTAAAGTAAGACGGAAGGGAAGAGCTGGAGGATGGAGAGGAGGGCTGTCTTGACACTGTACTCACCGACTCACTCCAGGTGTCGTTACCTGCATAAGGGCGAG